CCTGCAAACTGCAATGCAAAACCAATGAAAAGTGGAAACTTTTGCAATTTGCCGAATGCATTTTTGTTACCCTCGACACTGCGGCATTTTCGAACAATTGATCTCGATTCGCATCTTAATTCATTACTTAATAGAGTCGACGTCGCCTGCCAGGACTGTTGGCTTGGCGAGGGAGCAAAAGTTTGCTTTGGTTTCGGCTTTCGTTGATTACATTTGAGATGCATGGCCAATGCAAATGGAGGGGACCAAAGACCGAGACACTGGTATAACTTTGCATTGTGTCATTTGCATGCGGTTCTGTTGTATGCAAATTGCGAGTAATTGGTGTGAAACGTCTGCGTTGAACGTGACCCCTTCCCGGCAGATAGGAGTCGCTGAGCAAATATGCATTCATTATTTATAAGCAAAATATCATAAAACTCAACTCAGAAGAACAAGCAGCACAGCTATTGGGGGTGGGGTTAGTGCCAACATTTTGTGTCACGTGTCCAGAATGAAATCCGTACCTCTCGGGGGTGTTTTTAGTTAGTTGTTCGTCAAGATGGATGTTTAGCGCCAGCTGAAACTACAAGGGAATCTCCGCTTGGGCCACGGGCCATGCCGAACTAATAAAGTACATAGTTTACGCATTAAGTCCTGGCATAATTTCCCAGTAAACGGTCGAGCATAAACCGCTGAGTGCCAACTGGCAAGAGGCAACTGAACTGTCGTTGTCCTAGGATTCGGTGGGACGCGACAGGCATCAGGACACGAAGGACGACTCCATACGAAGCTTGGGAAGAGAGCAAACTAAGAGAGAGGGAGCTTTTGAGTGTGTTCTAAAAATGCAAAAGAGAACCAGAACCATCCCTAAGAGTCACATTTACGATATTCCGGCTGCCAGAGGACTCCCCTCTGCTATGCTTCCCTATGCATGCATGTAAAATGTAAAACCGAAATTGTTATTTGTGCAGTCCGCTTGTTTAGGGTACATGCAACTACATTGGGCAACAGCGACAGTGGCAGCAAGGACAGACAGCAATGCCAAACACGATTGCGAATTGTTAAACAAGCCCCAACAATTTCCATTTAACCAGCCAAGTTTCGCATTAACCGAACGCGCTTCAGCTAATTGACTAGACAGCGAGCCAAAACTGTAGTTGAAACTATTTTGTACCTATTTTTCCCGGCCGCTTCTTTGCTTTTTCCAACCCCCTACACCGATACACTTTTCCTCGTCTAATTAGCTGGGAAAACAGCAAAGGGGCGTGACCGGCGGGCATATAAATTACTCCATCAACTCAATAACTTTACACCTATCGAGGGTTTTCGTAATGGATTGCAATGCAAATTTGAGGTACGCTGCTGCTGCCAATTTTAAAATGATTTATGCACACACACGCACACACACACAGGCACTCATCCTGTGCGGCCCACGCTGCGTATACGTATTATATTCGGGGCACCCAGCATCTGGCCGCCCCAAGTTAATTAATGTGCGGTCAACATAGGTTTTTGAGGCTTCCAGCTGCTCCTGCTCCAAGTATTTATGCAGCCATGTGTGTTTTGCATTATTGTGGCTAACATGACCAAGATCCAAGGAGCCGGAAGTGTCTGTGGCCAGTGCATATCATTTAATAAGAATTTTAATGCAGACGCACAGCACAGAGAGTGCCTACATACCAGCAGGAAATTGAATTCCATCCCCATTGCATGATGAATTTATGTTGTGTGGTTAAATTAAATAAGACATTAAGTGCTGCATTATGCCCGGCTCCGTGCCCGAGTGCAGCTCCTTGTGGCTTGGCCCCCGGAATCTGTGGCTGAAAATCAAGCTAAGCCAAAATAACTGGCCAAGACAAATAATAAGCAGGCAAGAAACAACATTGCGTAAGGCAGGGCCCTTCAATTTTAATTAGCATTCCATGGAGTCGAGCATGGGGGGCTTTCTTATCCCGGTCCCTCTCACGTCCGGCGCCAGGTAATTAACAATAACAACTACGACACTCTGGCGACAAAGCCGCCAACCCAAAAACATGACAGAACAACAGGCTCCCGCCAGCTTATTTGCCTGGCAATGGTCACCGGTTGTTTTAGCAGCCCGACCCTGGTGGCTAATTAAAATGTATTGCTTTGTTGTTTTGCATACCCAATCCAGTGGGAGAATTAAGCTGGCGCGCTTTTAAAGGATCTCACACTCCACTGGAGAGTGGGCTAGACGTGGGTGGCATTCAGCATCAACGACACCAACGGCATCAACAGCATCATTATTCAAGGAGGCAGGCGTTAGAAAAAGTTCAGGGTGCACGCTAACGATCTGCCAATGTCGAGCTGGAGCCTGGAGCCTGGAGCCTGGAGATGGGGCTGAGGCTGAGGCTGATGCTGAAACTGATGCGAAATCGAGCCGAACTGAACCGAGTTGAACTAAGCTGCGACCATGCACCATTAACGATAACATCATCAAAGAAAATCCTTTACGACCATGTGTCACGTCACAACGCACCCACTCGCACTCCCACTTGCCCTGCGAAGGACACATCCACGCAGGAAGAGGCGCAATAGAAGCCTACGCTTCCTGTCACAGGACAAAACGCACAGCAGCAAATTGGCAGCAACGACAGCAATTGCTACAAAAGGGGGACGACCATCACCATCAGGCAGTATCCCACCCACCCAAGCATCCGAGTATTCTTGTATCCGAGTATCCCAGCATCCCGATCCGAGCATCCTTCGGTGCCGGAGACGCACGTCGCCAAAGCTCAACGGCACACACATCAAAAATAAACCATCAGGCCAAGGCTGGGGAAAAAACCGACAACAAAAAACGACGACATATCAACATTAGTCAATGTCGTGTAAGGGAGTACCCGTGTCTAGGCCACCCTATCTCCCAGTTACTTTCCTTTGCCCCTCCTAACCCACTACTCCTGGTTGGTAAAGGGTATATTGCACTCGGGCCAAGGTAGCCATAGGTATTAGCATCTTCAAGCCTTGAATGTTTAGTAGCCAATTCGTGTTCGGTATATCCTTGTCTTTCAGGGTATAAAAGGACACTGATGATTGTAGAACCTCTCTACCAGGTAACACCTAGTCTGAACGATCAACTACAAAACATTTCCCTTTTGTTTTTATTTCGGGTTCGTTTCGGGCGGTGCAGCTAGCTGCTTTGAATAATTGAGCTTCGCTCTGCTTGTGGATTTTGTAAAGTATGAAAAATATGCGTGTCTTACTTACAGCCGCGCCAGAGGCCTAATGAAGTGCTTTGGACCCGAAGGGCTGTCCCTACTCCTCTTGGGCCAATAATTAAAACGTGTCGGGCAATGCCTCTCCATTTACACAAACATTTACCTTTGGTGTCATTGTTTTTTTTCTGGTGTCTCCAATTCACTGCTCGAATATGGTTCGGAGCACTCACAATCGCATTCGAGCTGCATTCGCACGAGCTTGTCATTTATCAAAGGGGTCTGCTCTTGAATTTCAATGCAGCCCATACAATTTGCTATACTTTGCATAAAAGCAAATGCTCGCCACTCTCTTTGGGATCCGGGAGCTGTGTGCTTATGTGAGCTCTGTGCCGCCTTTTTGCTTAGTCGCGAATATTTCCATCCCGGCAGCGTTAGTGGCACGCACGCACCGCATTTCTCGATTGGCAGGCAATGGATTGAAAGGAGTCTGTGGAGCCTGTGGAGCTGTGCAGTGGCAATGCGGCAGTTGCTCCTCGATTTGCCGTTCCTTATATTGACTTGCACTTTGTGGCGCTTTGCGGTGTACCGTGGTGCATACGAAATGCCCGCAAGACAATACGCTAAAGGATGCGTCAGTGGCAGAGAGAATCACACAAAAGAAGAAAAAAGAAAATAGTCCAAAAATGGAAAACAATTTTCACTTGCGGTTTGTCTTTGAGTGCATTTCACGCCTCTCTTTGTAGTCCTTGGCAGAGCTATGTAGTAAGTAGGGTTAGATCAGGACAAAGGAAACCTTAAGCTGAGCAATAAACCTATTTTATGTCAGTCATTGTTTCCTCAAACTATAATTAATTTTGGAAAAGTACAAGTACTTTCAAGCATTTTCCGAGGAATAAATAAACCCCTTTTGCAATCTCTTATTAATTAAAGACCAATAACTTACTCCTAATATTTATTTGGTTTGTCACAAATACATATTCCTCATTGAGTTTCCCCTGACACACATCAGATCCTTATTCAAACTTCTCTTCATTTTCTACAATGAGTTGCAATCGCTTATTAAGAAACCCCGCCCGGACAGGACAATGTAACATGTAACAGGTGATTTGACCTAGCCCAGAACATACGCACACAATAACACAAGAACTGATAACGATAAGTTTATCCCAAGATCTTTTGACATGAGCAAACAAATAAAGGAAGAAAAGCACGCAACAGCCAAAGGAGCATTGGGGGGGAAAAAAAAGAAAAAACGTGGAAAAATACAAAGTGCTGTCATTCATTGTGCTCTGCTATTTGCCAAGGCAGTTCCAGTGACATTCTCCTTGCCTCGTCGTCGTCCTCGTCCTCGTCCTTCCAATCCCGATTCCCCCGTTCGTTTGTTTTGCTTTCGATGTGCATATGTGTGCGTGTGTCCAAGGCTTTGTATCCTTAGGTCTGTGCGTGTGACGTTTTATCTCTGTCACTAAATTGACACTTTAGTTAATGGATTTTGTATGTGTGAGTGTGCTATTTGCGGCGCTTGCTTTTTATCAGTGCTCCTGCCTTTGCTTTTTTCCCACTGTTGCTCCTTAACATATCTGGCAGGAGCAGGAACAGGAGCCAGACCCTCGGCAGGACACGCACTTGCCCGAAACGTTCCTCAACGCAAGTGTAAGTACTTTGAATAATAAGAATGCTCAGTTTGATGGATGCGCAACAAATCTCTTTAGATTTATCAGCGGAGCGATGACAACGCCGTGGATGGAAATGGAACGCCACCTTCACAGAGTCCTTTCAGCCCTAATTCCGACAACAATTGAGGGATTATTCACGTGCTTGTATCGCTCAATGCACACGATTTGTTCTGAGTTACGTGTCACTCAAAAAACACACGTAGTATCGAAACTGTATAAATATTCGCCAAATATATGTTTCTCTTTTTCGGATAAGTAAAAATGCGTCGTCGAATGGAGCCTGCCCTGCAATCAAGCCTGCGTAAGTTCGCTTAGTCCCCTTTCTATGTACAAGGAACCCATATCCTGATGCTGATGCTGTTGCTATCCTCAGGCAAGTCAAAATTGGATCCCAATGGAAAGTGTGGCGTTGCCGTGAAGCAGCAGCAGCAGCAGCTGCAGAAGCATCCCAGTGAGCCACCTGTTGAGGCAAAGACGGCCAACAATCCCATCCAGTTCCTGGAGCGCAAGACCAATGACGAGCTCGTCGTGCACTGGACTCGCTCTGAAAGCAGCCAGTTTCCACCCATTAAATTGATGCCGCCTTGGTAGTTGTATTTTCTAATATTCAAGTGCTTCCAGAATCTTAAGGATATACAAATAAAAACGGATTAAATTTAGTTGTGAACTTCACAGGGGACCGTTCATAACTTTATACAAAAACACCAGATGTCTTCATCCTTACAACTTTTGGAACATTTCCAAAGATATATATTTTATTTGAGATTTATTCACTGTTATCAACCGATTATAAAATGTTTCTGCATATTGAACTGATTCTCTTACTTCGAAACCAATTTCTAGAGATATCAAAATAACCGAATTACTTAAAATTCAATTTGAAACAGGAATACAGTCAGTTATAGCATTTGGCTGAGTTCCAGGCATGACGCGAAGGATTGGATACCTTGGCAACCAGCGGCTGGTAGCTTATTTTCAGAGGGAGAGAGAGAGCCGGCGACGAGTTTAAAAAATAAAATATTTAATGCCAAGGCTTATGGGCCGGATTCCGATTCACCCTGGCCTGCGTGCGATAAATACACATGTGTATATCTGTCACAGTGTGTCAAGTTTTAAATCGGCTTTCGGCTTTCGTCCCCGGGTAGCAGCTTCAATTTGACGCAATAATTTATATGTGATTTGGTCGCATTGCGGCGGCTTGTCAGAGGGCTCTGGTGGGCAGGGGATTTGTAAGTTCTGTTGACAAAATAAGCAAAATAATAAATTACGAAAGTTGCGGCACGCGCTCCCACCGGGATTTTGCTTAATCGAATATGCACACAGTGGGGCAGCGAGGCCCGGGGACCCGGCCTTTTCAATCACTTTTCCCTCACTCATCTGGTCCTGGACACATTAATTGGCCCAAGTAGTGCACGGCAAAGTTGAGGTGCTCTTCTAACAGCCATCTCTCTTGGCATTATATATATATAAATATGAGAGTATGTGCCGCATGCAGGTGTGCCCAGGTGTGCCCAGCCCAGGACTGGCCCAAAGCCGAAGTGGTAAACTTTCCAACGAATCTGCCAGCACATGCAGCTTGCAACTTTGAGCACCTGGGCACTGGACGTGGAACTTGGCCAAGGAAACTTTTCCCGTTCGGTTTTGCGGATCGCTTTAAAGCGTCGGTGTTTATGGGTGTCAGTGGCAGACCAGGCATCTACACTATAAGAAACCATGGGTTAATAATGTTAACTATAAAGCAGAACACATTTCCTGAACACCCTTTCTTAAGCACTTACTTAAATTAGTATCTTCATAAGTTTAATAAGTTTGCAAGCTACTTAAACCTCTGTGTTAATTGGTTTTATAATCTTCTTACAAAAGATAACCAATTTTCTCAAATTTAAATCTAAATTCATAGAACCATACATCGGTTTTCGCTCAGTGCTGATGCTGGGTCACCGGCTGCTCATTATGCCCGATGCCCGATTGCCGAGGGTATCGCGCTAAGTGGCTCTGCACTGGGAATGGAAACTAAATGAATGGCCGCTTGGAATGCCTTGAAGCCCAAAGGATTAAATGCCCGGTGCACACACAAAGGCGCCAGACTGCCACCGCATTGTGGCAACAACTCATTTATCATAAGCGAGCTTGGTGCAGTGGGGATCTACATAGATGGGGGCTGAGGGCTCACGACAAAAGTAACTGACAACTGCAGATGAAATGTTGAAAGCGCGAACTGAACACACAGCGCAACAATTAATTGTCTCCGCAATTCATTTGCCCTTCGCCAAGATGCCAGATGCTTGGGGGGGGAGGAGGGAGGGGTCAGGTGTGGGTCGAGGGTCGTGGGGTCTTGGGGTCTTGGGGTCGTGGGTGGATAGGAAGGACGCTTGGTCACGGGGCGCGGCAGGTTGCTCACCCGGCCGGCACGCAATAATCGCCCAGCATTTGCCCTTAATTAATGGTTGAGCGCAAAGTAATAAACGATATTTAAACAGAAATTGCTTTGTTTTTGCTGCTCTGCTTTTAGTAATTGAAAGCAGACCGAATTCATATTTTATGCGGCTGTCATAAAACTTTAACAACTATTTCGCCCCAAAATAAATATGTTGAAAAAGAGAAATGAAGCTAAATTCGGCACCCCGAAGTTTGTATACCCTTTGCAGATTGAAATTCAATCACTAGGAATTAATACAATATAAATTATATATATTTATGTTAAAAACAACAAAGTAATGTAATATTTCCAATGAGACAATGAGACCTTCCCTACGCTTCTCAAAAAACTAAATTGTGTTTGCCTCTCATTTACTCTCTCTCAAATATAATACTTTCTTCGCTTTCACTCTCTCTCAAAAAGTGCCCTCCTCTGCGATTCTCAACCGGTGTACTTAAGCACCGTAGCAAACGCAATTATTTTTGTTCTTCTTCTTGTTCAGTTTAAAGTTTTTAATTAAATTTGAGTTTAAATATGTTATATTTTTGATCAATTCTAAGGACTTATCACATTTGTTTACTAACTCAAATTCTCATTCTTCAAAAATAAACAATAAGACCTTCCCTACGCTTCTCAAAAACCAAATTGTGTTTGCCCCTCTTTTACTCTCTCTCTTAAAAATAATACTTTCCTCGCATTCACTGTCTCTCAAAAAGTGCCCTCCTCTGCGATTCTCAACCGGTGTACTTAAGCACCGTAGCAAACGCAATTATTTTTGTTCTTCTTCTTGTTCAGTTTAAAGTTTTTAATTAAATTTGAGTTTAAATATGTTATATTTTTGATCAATTCTAAGGACTTATCACATTTGTTTACTAACTCAAATTCTCATTCTTCAAAAAATAAACAATAAGACCTTCCCTACGCTTCTCAAAAACCAAATTGTGTTTGCCCCTCTTTTACTCTCTCTCTTAAAAATAATACTTTCCTCGCATTCACTGTCTCTCAAAAAAGTGCCCTCCTCTGCGATTCTCAACCGGTGTACTTAAGCACCGTAGCAAACACAATTATTTTTGTTCTTCTTCTTGTTCAGTTTAAGTTTTTAATTAAATTTGAGTTTAAATATGTTATATTTTTGATCAATTTTAAGGACTTATCACATTTGTTTACTAACTCAAATTCTCATTCTTCAAAAAATAAACAATAAGACCTTCCCTACGCTTCTCAAAAACCAAATTGTGTTTGCCTCTCATTTACTCTCTCTCAAATATAATACTTTCTTCGCTTTCACTCTCTCTCAAAAAGTGCCCTCCTCTGCGATTCTCAACCGGTGTACTTAAGCACCGTAGCAAACACAATTATTTTTGTTCTTCTTCTTGTTCAGTTTAAAGTTTTTAATTAAATTTGAGTTTAAATTAAACCTTTGCCTATTATAAAATCTGTGTTAAATCAAAGTTTTGTACGACAATTCCTACTAACAACATTCCGCAAAAATAGATGGTACTCCACCAAGCCTGCAAAGAGAGTGTAAGTACCAACAAAAACAACGACGGACATATACAAATTTCAGTTCATCATAAAAAAAATTCGATCACTAGGAATTAATACAATATAAATATATATATGTTTATTAGTGTTTGAAGTTAGTAACTGATCATACATATGTATTGACCATAGATTCTTAGTGATCCTTGATATTTACTAATCATAGTTACTTAATGTTCATAGGAACTTACTGTTGACAGATGCTTACTGATCCTCTGCATTTAAATTGTAGAGTATAATAAAATGGCTTTATCTCAAATTTGGTCAAATTCTGTTGAAAACTGAAAATGTTAAAAATTTTTTTTGTAAAAATTTTCCGATCATTCCTATGACAGCTATATGATATAGTCGTCCGATCCGGCCCGTTCCGACATATATACGAGTGAGAGTATATAGAAGGCTAACTACAAAGTTTCATTCAGATAGCTTCAAAACTGAGAGACTAGTTTGCGTAGACACGGACAGACGGACAGACGGACAGAAGGACAGACGGACATGGCTAGATCGACTCGGCTGTTGATCCTTATCAAGAATATATATACTTTATAATGTTGGAGATGCCTCTTTCACTGCGTTGCAAACTTCTGACTGAAATTATAATACCCTGCAAGGGTATAAAAAAGCGTGGAAAACATTTTAATTAACTCAAAAGCTTGAGCATGCAATAAAGGCATTGGCCAATAATTACATTCCTTTAATTAAAAATATTTACTATCAAATTAGATACGGGCCAGATAAAAAAAACAATGGTCGTAGAAGGGTAGCACCACACTAGATTCAGGATGATAAATTATTTTAATGATGACAGACGACGACGAGGACCACGACTCCAGGACCTGTGTGCGTGTCCGGACAAAAGCCAATAAAAGCCGGGCCAAGGCTGGGTCACAGGTACCCAATAATGGAAGGAGAAACGTGTGAGGAGATCCATGGGGTATGGTTCATAAATGAAAAGTAAAGCCTATGCGATAAGAATAAGAAAACGGAACACTTTTTAAAAGATATAGTGATATTGTTTTGATTATGAGAACCATGTTTTGTATGCTATCTGAAATATTTACCCTTTATAAAGTCTCAGTTCTGGTTTACTGATTATATATTTATACAGCTACTCAAGTAGGTAATAAGTATTGCAGTAGCAACAGATTTAAAATGTAGTTTTCTCCATTCAAACTTTTCGCTTTATGTGACTTGCTTGAATTGAGATGTTCATCCTTGATACTCTTAAAGATGACTCCTCCTTTCCCTTGAGTATCAGCTAAAAATCACCATCTCTTAGTCAGTTATCAATCAGTGAACCCATTTCTTAGTGCTGCTATAAATTCCAAGACTGTGGCCACAACATGACCCATCACTTTCACCGATCTAATTAATTTGTTGCAAAATAATTTATTAATTAGCATGTCAGTGTCAGAGATTTTTCGGGGCATGGCTTATCATTAAACAAAGAAAAAAGCCCCCACCAAAGGTGGAACGAGAGCTGGCCAAATAGGCAATTAATCTGGCTCAGCTGTGGACAGGTGTGCGCAAAAATCCCGCATAGGAAACCAACGAACGTTGTGCGCGGACAGGACCTGGCCAGGATCCGAGACTGGGTCCGGGAAAGCAAAAGAAAAGGAGAGGCGGCAGACAGGGCAGAGGACAGCCAGGCGGGAAATTGAACGGGCAATTATTTATTAATTTAACAGACACGCAATGCACATGGAGTTATCTCGATGCGACTCCTGACATCCGCTCTGATTGCGAGCAATTCGAATTTTTGCATGGCATTGCAGCCGCCCCAGTTGCAGCTGCAGTTGCTGTTGCAGTTGCTGTTGCATTGCAGATTCAGATTCGAATGTCAGACGAGGATGCAGCCATTAACCATTTATGATGTGCATGTCGACATGGGCACAACGGGCCTTGCAACGGCATCCCATTTTCCCAGATCCTGGCTCTCGTCTCGGCACTGATTCCCCACCGTGACCCGGTCTGCTTTAATCCAACGACCTGGCTTGAGATGGCTGGAGTTGGAGACATTTAATCAATTGCCTGATAAGTCGGAAATAATTGACGAGCTCTCTCAGCAAGTCAGCAAGCAAAGCTTTATTTAACAATGATTTTTGATTTAAACAAAAAAGAGGGTTTCTTCATTGCATATTCAACTAGAGGAAATAGAGGCACATATTACGAATTTAATCCGAGGTTTTTGAGGTCTAGGCTTTTGGCTTTGGTTTTTCTTTTCATACCGCCGGAGGAGCTTGGCATTTTGGCTAGGTTTTAGCAAATTGCAGGGAGGCCAAAAACCTAAGCCCAAACCCAAACCCAAACCGTATACGAAATGAAAACTAAAACGTCGCATTCGCACTCACATCTGCAGAGCTGCATTCGAGTCTGGGTCAGCAGCAGTTCGAGAGTGAGTGTGTGAGTTGGCTTTCAAAGTTTCTGGCAAGTGAAAATGAAAGCCCTTCGGATGGCTGTGTGTGTGCAGCGGAAATGGGTAAATAGTACAAAGAGGAAATGTACAAATAAATATTTGCAAATGAAAATGAACAAGGAAATGGAAGCGCCATGTGGCACCGACAAGCGCTAAAACGTTATATATATATGGGTAAGTGTCCGAAATGATAATAAATGCGGCTGTTTTTGGCCAACACAACAATTTGCGGCAACCCTGATCCCAAAATACCTCAACGGAAAATTCTTTGCAGCCAAAAAATTGGTGCATTGTTCTAGCAAAGCAACTTGGCCGGGTATTGTTTGTATTCTTTAAATGGTTTTATGTAGGTCCTCTGAAACTTTAGAGGAATATTTAAGAAATACTTTCGAAGATTGTATACTTAGTTAAATTCAATGATATATCATTTTTACCTGTATTTCTAGAAAAGTACTCATTTAAACTCAAGAATTATGAAAGCAACTTAAAATGTGTCTGAAATTTACCCCCTAAAGTCATCAAAATAACACATTTGCCCCAGAACAAGTCTCTTTTCCTGCACCCAAATCAAGAATTCAAATTTATAATGCCCAAATTTAAGACCATAGATTATCGCCAGTGAATCAAATTAATTCGACTGCAGCAAATTCTAGATACAAAAAAAGGAGCAGAATTTATAAAAGCAAAAATGCTAACCAAGTGAATTATTTTCGAATCATTCTAGGCAAAAGCAATTTGCATCTCAATTGGTGCTCAAAAATTTGTGAGGGGGTTTTTGAGGGATGGGAATCAGGGATGGGCACCAAAAAAAGAGCAAAAAAAGAATGCTGCCACAAAGCGGCAATCAGTAACAGTTATAGCGGAAAATAGCTATAATATGTAGGGAGCTGATATGAATATCTAACCCAAAGCAGGCAGAAAATTGCAAAAGTGCCTAAAAAGAAGTGGGGTGGAGTGGGGGACACCAGCAAGGCAGCTGCACACATGACTGAAATTAAAATAGCAACAGCGACTGAGGAGCGGCAAAGGGCGGCCAGGCAACCACACAAAAGCAATTTCGATCAGGCACAAAGATAAGGAGCGGATTCGAGGAGAGAGGAGAGCCAACGCAGCACATCAGTTACAAAAATGTAGGCTAAAATCTACACCCCCCCCAAGAACCCGACCCAAAGACACCCGAGAAACATCCAAAACCCACACCCACACCTCAACAAAGGCGCCGTGAAAGCAAAGCAGATAAAGACGAGCCCGAAAAAAAAACGAACAACAAAAAAGGACTAAAGCACACAAGGATGCGCTGGAGGATTCAGTTTGGCAAGGGGGCCGTGGTTTAGGCCTCATTTTGCGGCTGCTGTAGGTGCGCTAAAATTATGCAAATCATCGTAATACTTTCCCGACGAAAGCAAAGCGGAAGGAAATTGTGTAAAAGCGGCGAGCGGCAAGCGGCAAGAACAGCAGCAGCCTCTGTCTGTCTGCTGGTGGCAGCCTTTTTTGGCAGGCTACAAAGCAAATAATTGCCCCAGAAATTGAGGGCATGCAAACCGTAATGTAATGGAGCCGTTTCGTTTCACTTTGAACGTCGCCACGTCGCATGTGTAGTCCTAATGATGATATTTCCAAAAAAAAATAAAGAAAAAGCGGGAACCGAATCAAATAAAGCGCCCGCCGGCGTGGAAGACAGTAAAATGAAGTGAAATACTTGGCAAGTGTTTGCTCAAGCGGCACCAGTCAATGGAGCCGGCTTAAAGACTCTCTCTCGTAGAAGAGTTTAAGCTGGCGGGCATTGGAGCATAAAGTGCACATACACCAGCTCTCCTCAGGTTTCATTGCATCCGCTTCCGGTGGCTTTTTTTGGGAGGGGTGGCGAGGGGGTAAATTTAATAAACGTCAAGCTGAGAGGCAAAGAGCGACGGACCAAGCATTGCACCTGCCGTTGACCGCAATCGGGAATGTGTTAGTGAAAAGGTGGAGCTCCTAAATGCAAGCTTGCCCCACATACTCAAACACACACTCTCGTACACCACTACGTATACGTATTGTCCACATGTGGCTGCTGTGGCAATATAGCGTATACGACCCATCAGACGAGAAAGAGAGTGGAATTTTAAATGGCCCGCTTGGCCGGGAAGACAGGCCTGATCCCAGCTATCAGGAAACTTCATAAGTCTCTGTTCCACCCCCCCTTGGTAAGACCCATCCCTGATTTATGGTCTTTAACTTCCTTAAGTTGCCATCGCTCATATGTCTTTGTGGCCTTATAATTGCACTTCCAAACATGGACCATTTATAAATCTTAGGCCCGCCGAAACTTTTCCCATTTCCTCGATAATTTCGCGCAACATTAACAGGCTTATTAATCGTGGCCCGCACGCATCCAGCAAACATCAGGCACGTCTCCCTCAATCCTCAATCCTGAAATTGTCAAAGTGTTGGCCGCACACACACATTTCACGCACAACCACAGCGATGCGGATGATGCGGGGCGGCTTTGGAATTTTATTGGTCCCCCGGCTGTGGAGTACCTTTTTTGAATAGCGCGACACATTAACTTAATAATTTAGTGGGTGTCGAGTGGGCTGTTATAAATATTTATAAACGGAGAAGAGATGGGCGATGGGCGATGGGCGATGGGTGGGACACTCAAGTGGGCCGTCGATGGCAGCCCTAGATCTGGTGCTAAGAGCTACTCCAGCTATGCCAGCTAACCGGGCTCTCTGGCTCAATTGCGCGTAAAAGTCAAATGTCTCTGCCTTTCGGAAAGCTTCCTTTCCGAAGGATACCCCCGTATCGTATATACATGCAAAAGTTGGCACGTCTCGGCTACAGCACTAAGTCGGCGTTATATATGCGCATGTATTAGTTTTGCCCCCGCCATTCAACCATTCTGCATGCCGCACAAAACGGAAAAGCTTACAGTCGTTAAGGGATTTAGCAGGAACATATAAATTTATGAAATATTCGACAGGAGCACAACGGCATCCAGGATGTGGATGTGGATGTGGATGCCATTGCTATTGCACCTTTCCGCAACAAAAAAAACAAGCCTGAAAAGTCATCCATGTGGCCAGGTATTTTGTTGTGGCGCTCAAATGTGCCACAAATACAATCTGCAGCCACAGCATGACTTGTTGTTGGTCAGTGGACACACGGACGTGGAACGAAATCAATGCTAAACCAAACCGAACTAATGTTATTTGGGGAACAAACATCGATAATGAAATCATGGGGGGCGCTGGGCAAATGGAAAGTGATTCGGCTCGGCTCCTGGCCCTCGGCTCTGGTGGTGGTCAGGTTGTTGTTGTGCCATCGGGCCAATAACTAATTTCATTTACTCAGGCCAGGCACATTTCCAATAGCATATGCACAGAAAGGTTGACATTATCCACATGATGGCCACCATGACCGCCTGTTGTGCATTACCTGGGCTCAATCTGCAAATAATTAAGCCAACAGCTGGATCTGGTTACATTTAAGGCTTCATATTCAGCTGTAATTTAAGTTTTTTCCATAGGTATTTCTAGGATAAAAAGCACGTGCAGGGCACTGAGAAATATGAGTCTACTTTTATCATATTTTTGGGTCACAATAAAAAAATTCAACAATGAAGTGCAATTATCGAGGAACAGTTGTGCACACACCTCAAAATAAAAGCCAACAGCTTTAACCCAATCCCGAGTAGTATAAATAGATCTGCAGCAGATCGGCTGTCCAGCTGGAATATACGGATATGTGGAGACATTTGCTGCCCATTCTGGCACTCTGTGCTATGGGTAAGATATTTAATTTAATTAATTAATAAAAGCAATCCTTAAGTGCCTCCTCCGCTTCAGCCCAGGCCCAGTGCCGGTTCACCAGGGCCGAGGTCGAGAGAACCACTCGCATCTTCATGGTGCGTCTCCCTAATCGGCAGCTCTCGTTAAAACGAACGGCAAGCTCACCTGTCGGCGAGGTCCTTCAGATGTGGTGCAATCCCCAGGACATACGGGCAGCCACTTGCCAGCGGGCACAGGGCAACAGAGTGTCATTCCGTCCCCCGCTACCCATGACATGTCAAAGGGCACCGGCGGCCTTGACCACACCGGTTCCGGATCGCAGCTGCCCGGCCACCATGTACCGGGTGGGCTATAATGTGGGTAACAACCAGTTCCTGGAGCTCTATCGCGCCTGCTTCGACCGTAGAGCAGTTCGTGCAATCTTCGTGGATCATCGGGTGTACGCCAAGACTTTCTGTAAGATACAGATACTCTTTAGCAGATATTTAAATGTAACTAAATTTATCCTTTTACTCCTATTAGTTGCCCAGCGACCTTGTGTGCAGTTCAGCTCAGATGGAGTGATCAGTCCAGCCGATGAGGCGAGTTACACAACCCGGAACATCTATGCTACCTTCCGACGACTCTTTGGCAACCGTCAGACCTATATAGCCAACAACCAGGATGTGGTGATCAATCGTGGACATCTGGCCGCCTCGGCTGACTTCTTGTTTGGGGATCAGATGTGCTCCACCTTCAAGTATGTGAATGCTGTGCCGCAATTCAAGGCCATCAACGATGGCAACTGGGAGGCCATTGAGCGCTGGGTTCGCAGCTCGGTGACCGGCAATCAGTTCGTAAATGTGCGCACTGGAGCACGAGGTGTCCTTTCACTGCCCTCGTCCAGTGGACCCAAGAATGTCTTCCTTAGTGGAAACAGGAACCCGGTGCCTCTCTGGATGTACAAAATAGTTCGCGATGCTAACAACAGACCCATAGTGGCCTTCCTAACGCTCAATAACATCTATGCCCGCCAACGTCCGGCGGCACCGAATTTCTGCCAGGCCGTCAATTGTCCCATCAATTTGCCCAATAATGCCCGATCTGGCTTCACCTTCTGTTGCAATCCCGCCACTTTCAGACCCTAAACGATTGAGTTTCCTAATTAGAAATTTAATATATACATATACTGTCCATTAAGCAAATTAAAACGAAATGAAATATATACTTTTATGTTTTTAATGCCGCGAATCAATTTTCATAAATCGTAAATGTTTTGCGTGGCAGTTTAAAACGCATCTAAACTCTTCCACTCGGAATGGACTCCCGCCTCTCGTTTTAATGGTCATTCGGTGGCTCCTCATAAATTGCCACAGTCCTCTTGCTTTTGGCCCATTTAAATTCAAGCTGCGATTGTGGAGGCGAAACGCTTTTCAATGCGTTCAATGCTGTGAGTGGAGTGCAATAAAGGCGATGGCTTCCTTTGCTTGGATGTGTGTGTGTGTGTGCTTGCGCCTAAAAGTAGACATTAAATAAATTATTCAGCATGGTGTGGAATGGGCGGAATTGTTGCTTTTAAATACGCCCGCCTGCGAAATTGTTTTGTGCGTGCCGAGTGGAGGGGGAGTAGGTGGCTCCGGAGTCCGGAGTACGGACACTGGGAGCTCATAAAAGTGTGGAATAAATTTAGCCAGCCGGACATGCGTTGAACTGGGCTCTCATAAAACCTAACAGTTGTAATTGTGCTGTAAACACGCAACTCAATGGCATTGTAAATGGGCCGAGGCACTTGCAGCACTGGCGGGCATTATCCCTCGATGTCTATGAATCCATCGACGGTAGAGTCACCCGCTCACCCACTCACCCACTCACACGCCCTGCCTGCAGTGCGGCACAATTTAATTTATACCCCGCTTTTGTGGTCGTCGGCTTGTTGATTTTGCCTGCCTTTTTTGCCCCTTTTATTTTTATTGACCATTACAATTCTACACGAGCAGCAGCAGCAGCAGCAGCCGCACGATTTGAGTCGCAAATTTTATACGCCATAATTTGGTTCGCCTCTGTGAGCATGCATTAAAAGTGCCCAAATAGCGCCAAATTGCTCGTAAGCGGCGGAAATTGCGTTACGCCCCGGTTCTGCCCCCGGCGGGAACCCCATCAGAGGGACTCAGCCAAACGGAAGGCAGACAAAAGCCTAGCATACTTTGTCGAGCATTAACCATTTCGAAACATGCACATTAAAGCCACACAGCCACTTGAGCATCTGCCCAGCAAGGACACACATCAAATGGCCAGACAACGACCCACAGACGGATATTATAAGGCAATTATATCAGTCCCAGTCTGGCTGAGATTTTGGTTTGAATTGCAAAGACCCAGAATATAGACAAAGGCAAGTTGCTAAAGTACCTGATATTAAGTTTCAGTTATAAGATCGAACCAGATTGTGCCTGGCCAAGCATAAGCCCCAATTTAACCCATATTTTTCCTTTATTATATCCAAGGATATAAATTTCAAATCAAAGGAAAAGCTTAATGCCTAATGGAAGTTCAAAAGGTTGAAAATGCTGACCTGCAGAGCTGGAAAATGAAAATACAAATTACCTCGTTTAGTCAAGTGGCAAAATTGCAGTGTGTTTTCCAAGCCCATCATCTGCAAGTACAATGAAAATTAATAAAGTCTTGTTTCCAGCATACGGTGAATATATGTATGTATTTGTTGCCAAAAATAGTCTGTTGTCTCCCAGCTGAATGCAAACACGTGCCCACAAGCTTGGCCAGAGAACAATAAGCCTTGAAAGTGGGCCTAAACGGTATATAAGCTTTAGTTTCGGGAGCTCATTGATTATCCATCACCATGGAAGCTAAACAACTGCTACGAACTCTGCTGCTGATCGGTCTGGGACTGGGACTTGGTAAGAAGTTGTGTTGAGTTTTAAACTTGATAAATATATTTACAATATTACCCTTGCCAGTTCTTCAGACTCAAGCCGATTGTCCGCTCTCCCGGGCCATGATTGAGGGCACTAATCGCATCTTTACCAACCGAGCGGCCAATGGAAACTACGATCTGAAGCGGGTTCAACGTGTTCGTACCCGAGAAGTGCTGCACATGTTCTGTCAGCCAAATGACATTGTTCAGACCACCTGCCAGAGAACCAATAACTTCAGTCGTCCCCTGCCCATGCGCTGTGTACGTACTCCCATAGCTCCCACAGCCACCGTTGTCACGGATACCTCCTGCCCGGCCACCATGTACTCCGTGGGTTATACCATTAACAATCGTCGTTTGGAACTATACCGTGCCTGCTATGACCGGAATGCCGTTAGAGCACAGTTCTCCACGCATCTGGTGTACCACAAGACATTCTGTGAGTAAATAATCCATGCTAGGAGATGGTTCTTTAAGCTAATCCTGCTCTTTTTCCAGTCCCGCGAAGACCATGCGCCACATTTACCCGCGATGGAGCCATCAGTGAGACGGATGCCGCCAGTTTCTCGCCCCGTAGCATTTACAGGGCCTTCCGGGCCATCTTTGGCAACACTCAGCGTTACATAGCCAATGAACGTGACACGGTGATCAATCGTGGACACTTGACCCCATCGGCTGACTACTTTTATGGTGACCAGATGTGCGCCACCTTCAAGTATGTCAATGTGGTGCCGCAGTGGAAGACCATCAATGAGCGCAATTGGGAGGCCATTGAACGTTGGGTGCGCAGTCGCATTAGTGCTGGTGGTTTTCTAAGGATCAAGACGGGAGCCACCGGTAGACTGACGCTACCCGATAGCCGGAGGCGACTACGGCCCATTATCCTGGGAGCCGGCGCCAAGAATATTATGCCCGAGTGGCTCTTTAAGGTGGTGCGGACATCCACTAATCAGCCGCATACCGTGTTTGTGACCTACAACAATGTATTTGCCAGAGCTCGTCCAGGTGTGCCGAGATTCTGTACCTCTATACCTTGCCCTCTGACCCTGACGGATACGGCAGCTGCCGGTTATACCTACTGTTGCAATGCCACCATCTTTGCCCTTTAAAAAAGCTTAAAATAAATTTGAATTGAAGCAGCATCTTGAAAACATACATACATTGCATAGCTCAATGCCTGGAGGTTAATTAAAACACAATTGTGCTGACCAGTCTGGCTGCCTATCACTGTCAAGTGTTTATCTCATGTCTAGCTAAAGTTTAATTCCCACATTTATCAGATATGTCGAAGAGTTCACATTTTTAGAGCCAACCAACCCTTTACTTGGGTCACGTAGACTTCAAGTAGCTGCTGCCTAATGATTACCCTCACGAACGGTTCTTATTTTATTTTCCTCTGCTGCACCTTAGATTCAATTTTAGATAAGTTTTTATGAGTGCTGATGACAAAATGCAAGCCACATAAAGTTCATTGGATGCAGCTGAAAGGGCGAAAGGGCAACGGAACTCCTTTTGTTATTAAACGTGAGCTGGCAAAGGCAAGGTAAACAAGGCAGCCCCCAAGCTGATGGCTGATCATAAATGCAGATAGGGAGGGCCGAGTGAAAGGGAAGTGAGTATGGTGGGCAGAGATGGGGTATTCCACCGGGCCAGGCCCCGAGCAAGTGTCTCCCAATGGCGAGGCTTATCACCGATGACCTGAGAGGTGACCTCGCAGTTCACAAAACTCGGGAGATAATCGCGAGAAAGACAGCAGTACCAAGCGAAACCTCTGATAATCTCGATCCTCAGTTCTAGTTGGGAGCTCCAAACGTGAAGATGACCGAGCCGCGCTTTCTCTGGCTGAGCCTAAGCCTACTGCTCCGTGAGTGTATTATCAAAGTGATCAATGTAAATTATGACTAATAATGCGAATGTTTTCAGTTCTTGGAAAAGCTAAAGCCAGCTGTGTTATACCCATAGCCACAATGGCCACCAATCATGTGTTCTTAAGTTTCGAAAATCGTGTCTGGGATCTTTTGCACAGCGATACAGTCGCAGTCTCTGGAAGTATATATTTGCTTTGCGATGATGGGAAATCCCCCCGCAAGTTCGATTGCGATGTCCACGGATCATTCAGTCCAGCTCTACCAACAACCAATTGTGCTAAAGTATTTAAACCGACTGTAAGGGAGGTTAACAATGATCCAACTTGCATGACACCGCCATTGGCAATGTTCCTGGTTGGTTACAACTATGGCGGTCGGTTTTTGGAAATCTATCGAAGCTGCTACGATAAAGTGCAATACGCAGCACAATTTTCCATTCACATGGTTCACCGCAGCTTCGACTGTGAGTATACAAATACATATGTTTCATAAACTATAAACATAATTAACAATCATAATATTTTCAATCTTAGCCGCTTCCCGCCATCCCTTGGGCTTCACTACGGACAAGGCAATGACGGTTAAGGAAGCCGCCGCCTTTAAGAACGACAATATTTACAATTGTTTCGAGGCTGACCTGGGACAAGGTCAGATGTATATGGCCCAGGGCAGTTGCCTCTTCAATCGTGGCCACCTCACGGCAGTCGCGGATTTCCCCTTCGAGCAGCTACAGAAGGCCACATTCAAGCTCCGAAATATCGTTCCCCAGTATGCCGCTGTCAACAATGGCAACTGGAAGGCTGTCGAATCTTGGGTAAGACGATTGTTGAATCGCAATAACTACGATGTTGTGAAGGTCTGCACGGGGGCCCTGAAGGTGAAGCATTTGCAGAACCAACAGACCAACATATTGACACCCATTTTTTTACTGAACAACAAAATTCCCGTTCCCGAGTGGACGTACAAGATTGTGAGCCACCTCTCCGGGGCCAAATACGTGGTGCTAACGTACAATGACATTTACGAAACCAGAAGACCAAATCCCCGACCGATCTGTCAAATTCAAGCATGCGATTCGGATCTGAACCGGGATGGAATGGGCTTCACTTTTTGCTGTAAGCCAACCGAATTTATTAGAGATAATTTGTTACATTTGACTGGTGTTTGCTGAGGATAATAGATTTAAAAAAATTAAATTGTTATTTTGAAAATACAATGTACTCCCCCAATTGTCGTGTTGGTCTTTACCTGGATGACAAATTTTTAACAAAGCATGTCTCTAGAAAGAGTTGTGTTCATAAATACAGATATGATTAATAAAGATTAATAAATTAATGATTCATCAACATATTTCTACTGACTTTATTATAATAAAAGCTCAATGCTTATTTCTTTACAATTTTAACGTCCTTAAATCGACGTTGGTTGTGAAAAAGGCTAGGAAAACTCTCCGACAGGAAATCAAAATTACACATTTCCAGTGGTGAGTTTTCAACTTCTAGCTCCTCTTATGAAACAAAAGCTTTTATCAAACTTGAACGCGAATGCGCCAAAATTTAAAAATTGTCTTTGAGTATCTAAAAAATATTGTTTAAATATAGCTTAACGACAATGGAGTCTAAACTACGTCTTAAGACCTTTGAGATCGCTTATGCAGATGCAATACAACTTGTCCGTCTTGTCGTTGACACAGTTGGAAACATTCTCGTAGGAATCCAGCCTACTTATTGTAGTTACGTCTACCTCCACGGTCTGTGTGAGATTATTAAAGAGGACGGTGGCCCGGAAGTCAGCTCGATTTTGATCGACCTTGAACATGGTGCGATAGGTGGCCACCTCACGATGGTCATCGCCATGAAAGTCCATGTCCAGCGGTACCTTTATCTCTGTTTCATGAACATAATCCAGTGTCAAAATCGAGCAAATGTCGCTGAGATTCCTGGCGGCCAGGTACTCATTGATCCGACCAATCACCTTGGGCGCCACACTCTCGCCCCACTTCTCATTGATCCGCTTGTAGGGTTCGCAGGTGCAATAGTGATCCGGTATTGCGGCATCCTCGCAAGTTCTCAGTTCGTCGACAGGATAAAACAGAGACTGGCATTTGGGGCAGTCGTGAGCTTTGGGCAATGGGGATCCACCGCCAAGCTCTATGATATGCTTCAGGGTGTTGTGAAGGTCATAGTTGGAGGACAGGCGATTCTGGTTCACCTGCAGGGCCTGGGCGTACTCCGGATACTGGACGCGAAACCAGGGTGGCAAGTAGATGAACATCGATGGCAGGCGCTCCTCCAGGAAGCCGCTGGGCAGATGCGTAATCCGGCCCCATCGCGTTCCATGATCCGATAGGAATATGACGATGCTATTCTCAAACACTCCGTCCGCCTCAAAGTCCAGCAGATACTGCAGCACATAGTCCTCCATCTTGGCCGGCATTTCGAAGCTGTCGTGACTGAAGCTGTTCGACCAGAACAGGCCAAAGATGGGCCGATCCTGGACGAACCGGCGGGCAAAATCCCTGGCCATGTCATAAGCGTAGCTGCTTGTGATCCGCCGGCCGATGCAATACCTCATCGAGCACTCCTTGCACTTCCACGTATCCATGCCCGACTCGAAGGCTTTCTGAAAGGGTCTGAGGTAGTAGTCGGTTGGCTGCTCAAGGAATCCTGGTTTTATGTAGTTAAACGTATTCATCCCTGTCTCGTCCTCGGCATAGGCCGTGAGGTAACTGGCGTTCTTAAAGTCCTTCCATAGAAACGGGGTCCGGTCAAGGCAGCCCTTCTGGTGCCAGTCGCAGACATTCACCAGCGCCGACTCCGGATCGTAGCCAGCCAAAATGGCCAGCAGGTTAGGAAAGGTGTTGTCGCCAATCTGTTACGAAGAAATTGTAAAGAAATTAAAGTACATTTTGTGATTAAATTATTGATTAAGTTATTCTTACCTTGTTGTAACCCATCAGTTCGTACCATCCGCTCTGGGAGAGGAACTTGAAGACCTTCGGCATTGTGCGTCGGATGTTAATCCGCGACAGGCTGTCGATGCCGAACATAAGGACACTTGGCTTACGCTTAGACGGCTCCAGGGAGAGTCCTTTCGGTGGCGGTGTGTACTGGATTAGAGTGTATGCATCGCTCTGCAGAATATCCGACACGTTACCCAGACGGTGGCAGGCCAGGATCAAGCCATGGACATGCAGCGGCACCTCGTAACTCTGCGAGAAGTACTTGCGCTCCACTCTGTAAAATCAATTAAACATTTTTGGTGACAATTAGTCAATGCCAGGGTTCGAGATACAGCACGTGGTAGGTCTGTTATCAGATACTATTACATTCACAAGGTCGCAAACGTTATATACTTCCCAAACAATATCTGAAACGTTTGCCCCTTTTTCTTTGGGAATAACTAGATACACGCGACAATTAAGAGTTCGGATTTCCGAGTATTTACTTATCGTAACTGTCGTGGTCCCGGTCTCTCATTATCTCCTGATAGTAGCAATTGTACTCCCCCCACTGGAGTTGAGGAGGCGTGTCGCGAGCGTCTCATTTATGATCAGCACATAGCGCTGACGACTGACATCATAGATGGGGGTCACCAGCGCTGATTCGTTGGTGCAGGGCTCAAAGGTGTCACGATGGAATATAGCCATGGCATCATCCTCGAAGGGGTTCACATACGGTATCTGGCACTTGGCGGTTTTCACAAAAAACTGTGGCAGGACGCCATCCACCTCGATGTCCTTTTCGGCAGAGGTGAAATCAGCTATGGTGGTATCTGAGTCAATGTTGGTAACTGCTTTTCTCAATGTGTATTCCCGGTAGTCAGTGTTGGCTCTTTGACCCGCTAAGCACAAAATCACAATCGTGGCGATGAGGCACAAGCCAAGCCATTTAAGTAGCGGCAGGTGGAATTGGGCGACTGCCATGGGTGCGCGGAGTTTGCAGTTCGACTTGCGACTGAATAGTCCATGGCCCGTCTTCTTCTATTTACTGATCGATACAGGCCAGGTGCTGGAGTTATCAGTGCGAGTAACTATGTTCTAACTACCACGGGCTTTTATCACATTGGCCGGAAGCTTCCATTTGTGAAACTGACACTTACACTTTAATTTCTTAAGTAACAAATGTGGGTACATAATTACAAGTGTTACTGAATTGATCATATCTCCCTCAAAGTAAATACAAAAGCACGTATCGGACAAGAACAGACGGTGATCGAGAGCTCTATGCAGATATCAGTAGTGATTAATAAAACCACTTGACAATTAGAACCGTTTTGGCCACTTAATGCTTTGAGAACTTTGAATGAAATAGAACCACATTTTGTTTCTTTCTCAAAAATTAAATTAAATAAATATATATGTTATTATTAGTTCATACCATATAATATAATATTAATATCTAAACATGACATGTTATAAAGCTTATCAACGAGCTAACTCCGACATTTTCCTAAGAACCTCAATTGATAATGGGAGGTCGTCAAACTGATATATTAACAGCTCTAATTTAGCTGTGATTGAGCTAACAAGTACGTAACCTGATAAATATATAAGTTAATCGTTCCTTATGATGTTAACTTAGCAATTAGATTAATAAAAAAAATACATACAAAATGTTTTTTCTTTTAATTGCTGTGTCTATATAACAGATAACACAATATAAATATAAACTAGAAAAAATGCATTCCCATGAAGTTCCCCTGCGGTTCTTGATGTTCTAGTCCAGCGGCTGCTAACAAAACCAAGTTATATCCATAATTTTACTGGACTGAAAGTAGCCAAGCTAAGACTGGCTTGTCCATATTATTTTAAATTTATTAGAGAATTTGAATTCCCGCCATATGAAAATTGAAACGATAAACAAAATAGGTTTATAGAAAATTGGTTTGAGTCACTGCTGAACAGTGTTGCCAGCTTATCTTACCTAAATTAAAAGCTTATGAAATTTCCACCTACCTTATAGCTATATTATTGTCAGGTCTTTATTAAATCGGCACTTAACCATAGTTAACTTATTAAAAAGATGGCATTTTCTAAAAAGTTTATTTTTCATCAAAATCTAGCTTATATGGGTAGTCTGTTAAAAAGTTGGTATTTTCTGGTATATTATCCACAACCAAATGGAGGTATTTTTGTATCTATTCATTGACGGTCTCTCCGTTTTTAGGCAAACAGTCTGCGCGTTTTGGTTCGAGAAATTGGTTGAAAAAGAAAAATGTAGCTGAAAACGCGAAAATATCGAAGAAATAAGCGCAATACACTATTAAAAATAGCGTCAATACATTACTATCGGGTAATTGTCAACGAATGCGCTGAATTTCTTGAAAACAAATCGCGGACCACGCCAAGAAGTGGAAAAAAGAAATGCAAAATATCCTGGCCCACGCAGGATAGGTGTGTGAAGCAAACGCGAGGATAAGTCGCGTAGCAAGAAGAAGCAGCAGGCGGCGGCTGTCAAAACAGAGGAAATCCAGCCGAGATAAAAGTGCATCCGAGGAATACAAAGTGAAATGTAAAATGTGAACGATGTTGCAACGTCGGTCTGCTTGCATCGCAAAGAAAAAGTAAAGCCAGAAGCAAAGCCAGAACAAACAAAATACACAGAAGTGAGTGGGAGCGAGAGCGCGAGTGGGAAAGGGAGTGTGCAGTGCGTGCGTATTGGTAACGGTTTCTGCCTGTGTATGATTGTGTGTGTGTGCTCGCAACAAATTATCGGTTAATTTCCTTCGATTTTGCACAAACAACAAAGAGCGACGGCTGACTTTTGTTTCCGAAAGGGGGATGTCCTCAGCGCCCTGCGCTCAACTGTAAAGCGACCACCAACCACCGCCCCGTTATCAAACGCTGATAACTAAGGTCACACCAACATGCAAGACGGTAAGTGAAGACCAAGTACAGTGAAGCACTAGAGCGGCGAATGCCAAAATTGCCCAAAATAAAAACACGTTTGCCAACGCCACTGGCGGCAACAACAACATTTCCAATTAAGTTGCAGCAAAACAGAAAGAGAGAGAGAGAAAGAGATAGAGTGGTAGAGAGAGAGAGAGGTATAAAGAGGGGGAAAGAAGAAAGAAAAAAGAAAAACCGGCATGCCGGCTGCTGCATTGTAGAGCTGCTCAAAGTTAAACCAAGTAACAGCAGCAACAAAAACCCTGCACCAACTACAGTGACTCTTCCTAAAAGTGAACGTGCTGCAGCTGCTTACTAGTTACCCCTTGTAATTATGTAAATTTGTTTATACATGCACCTGTTCAAGCTGTTACTTATAACATGCATTTTATAACAAAAAGTTAACATTTTCCACTCCTAAATATTCGTACCTTAGGAAAAGTTTAGATCCATATTTAAAACTTCTCACAATTGGAAAATACACCAAAATTCTCATTATTGGTAAACAATAAAGGAAAGTCCCATTTTTACCTTACAAGAAGACCGAAGATACATACATATAAGTTTTATAGGAACTTTTATTGGAGATTTTTATAGCCATGCAGGGTATTATAATTTTTGACTTAGTTATGATCGTTTTCGAGTTCGAATTCTGGAGCCCATTGCCAGGGTATACGCACTTCGTCTTGTTTTATAGATTCCCGGTCTGCACTAAACTAAAATACCCTTATACCTTTCGGCTACCGGGTATAAAAAAAAAACTGGCGTGTGTGACCGTGGGTGTATGTTGGCAATAGAACTGAAAACTGGCCGCGCACTTTAAATATTTTCACCTAACTTACACACACAGAATTGTGCTCGGCCTGCGGTTTTTATTTTTCTGCGCCGCCAACTTTTGAAATGGAAATAATCATAATCAAAGGGTGGGAGCTGGGGGAGGGCTTTCAACAATGCCACACCCTCTGGACGCCCCTGCGCTTTCCTCTGTTTGCTTTTCGTTTTTATTTTCTTGCTGGAAAAGCCTGAATGTATGAATGAGTTAATCAGAGAGCGAGGAGGCAAAGCGCCAAAAGGCAACAGTCAGCAGACGCATCGTCTGCCTCCGCTCTCTGGTTGCCATCATCATCATCATCAACATCAACAACAACAAACAGAACGGCAAAAACAATTGCACTAAAGTTTCACTAGAATCTGCAATGAATCAGAAGGGAAAACCAGAAAGGGGTTGGTGTTGGGGCAAAGGGAAAAGTGCTCTCGCTGGAAACTTTATACTCTGCTCAGCAAGGGGTTCTAATGGCAAAGAGACAGTAAAGCAATCCTCCCTTGGAAAGTATCTTAGGGTTACATAAGATACCTAAAAGATAGAAAGATAGATAGATAAAAGAAAGTATCTGAAAGTGGTGTAATCGTATTTAGTCTTTAGTTTAGGCAAGACTCAACAATAAAGTCATCATGGTTCCTATTTCCTCACCATTCTACAAGATATATTATACTAGGATAGCTGTAATAGGTAATTAAAAACAAGCAGAGTGTATGATATCTCTCTCATTGTGAAATACCGACATATACGGAAAGTCTTACAGGAAATGAACTCATTATTTCCCCTTTAACCAAGTTATATAGCCATCACCATTGGTCTAACAGAATAACCCCTTCGTTGTGGAGTGTATCAAATGCCATGACAAAGATTCCGACGATGAGTCTGCCATAAATTGCGATGGCATTCTGCGCTTAACGGGTTTTTTGTTTGTTACATTTTTCGACATTTACGCCATTGACGTAATTGTCAGACCCGGCCCAGACACACTACTCAACTGAACCGAACCGAACCGAACCGGCAGTCTGACACCATTGCTCCGCCCAGCTGCCTGATCTCCCCGTACCCAACTCTCAAGCTAACAGCTCCATTTCCATTCCGCAACTCGCTCCCGTCTGGCTTTTTCAAGCTCAAGAGCAACTGGCTGCTCTCTGCCTTGGTCTTTTCATGAATTTGCATTTGCATTTGCGGCCGCCGGGTCCCAACTCCCGACGTCCAACTCCCAACACCCAACTCCTATCGGGTTCGGGCTCTGGCGCATATTACTCTGATTTTTAGCGGGTATTTTTCATAATTTGCTGCTTCGCTACGATTTTTCCGCAACATTTTTTCCCCGTTGCCTTTATGCACGGTTCGTTGCACTTTTTGTCAAGCATTTGCCAAAGTTTTCGGCCGAATTTTCGCCTTGTTGTCGGAATCGCACACAACTAAATGGAATGGTCTGATAAATTCGGGACGCCTTGTAAATCCAGCAGACCAAGCGGACAGCGCTGACTGCCAATTTAGGCGGACCGCAAGCAATTAAAATTTAATTTGCTCAAACCTCCAAATATCGTACATAAACCGCAGCATTAAAATTTAACAGCACAGCAGGTCCTGCGGCCAAATTGCCTACTGACTGGGGCCACTTTAGGACCCGACACATCCCCCAACGCAAAGCAACCCAACTTTCAACTCTGTGGCAAGCAGGAAATTAATTGAATTGAGACACATTTACGAGTGGCCGCAAAAAAAGAGAGATATTATTTTGGGAAGTATTTTTTGCTGGCACATCAAATACATTTATAATTTTATTAGGAGCCTGGCTTCCCATTTGCTGGAATGACAGGCAAATGGGGAAGGTCCTTGTCGGTTAATACTCGAAATACACGCACAGTCCAATGCAATGCACAAGGAGAAAAAGGTTTAGAATATTAGAAAAACATGCCATTATAAGCAATTGCCCTTGTGTATATATATTTTTTTTTTATATAAATAGAATTTTTTGGCAGTGCTGGTTGAGTCATTGCCAGTCAGAGATGTGGAGTGTGAAGCGCCGCTTAGAACAGGCCATAAAACAGTTCGCGCAACCTTGTAGCCGAGTGTATTGGGTATTGTTTATGCGTAGGCAACACGCTGCGGTTCCTGTAAAAACCCCTCTCCGTTCGTCCTCCACAGCAGGAGTGTGCTAATGACGCCGCACTTAACCCATGTTAGACGAATAATAGGCGTGTCCAATGCCGACCAGGTCCGGTCCGGTCAGGTCAGGTCATCAGGTAGCAAAGTCAAATTTTATGAGCCCTTGACAACTCTATAAACACAGAACGCTTATCACACCCAGAACACCTATCCCCGCGAGCCATTTTCTCCACCCCTCCCGTTTCAACACTTGAGCCGCAATTTTCACACGGCTTTAATGTTCGGTTTTATGGCTGATACGCCAGTTAGATTGCTTTAAGCCCGGCTCAACGCTCGAGTCCCCTTCAGACAGGGCCAGAAAATGAGAAGACAAGAAAAAAACACAGCCAAGAAATATGGCAAAATGAAAGCATTGCCAAAGAAAAACCTCGCACAAGATGAAAAACTTACAGACAAAACTTTCCGCTTTGGGGAGAGCAGCCGGCGCTCCTCGAACTTTGAGACCAAGTCCAAGACGAAGATGCTGTGTGGGTTTTTGTGTATGTTTCTGAGCCTTCTCGAGATCTCCAAGTTGCATGTTGTCAAAATTGCTTTGACGTTTTATTAGTTTCCAAGCAGCCCCAAGCAGCCGCACTCTAACAAACCGAACATCATCATCATCATCTTCGACCATAGTCGCATTGCAAACAAAAAACTGAAAATCGACAGAAAATTTACATAAGAAACGTTGAAGGATGCTCCACGGCTGCTCCACCGGGCACACTTCACTCTAGCCGGCGCTAAAAATAACAAAAAGCAAACCCAAACCCAAAGCCAACTCCCCAATGCGCTGACCAAAGCGAAATGTGTATAAAAGCGAAATGCGACTGAAACGAACACATTTGAAAATAGTTTGCGGCATGTCAAAAAGCCAGTGACCGCATTAAATTTTCCACTCCGGCCAACGTTTTGGAACACTTCCAGGTTTGGGCCGAAAAGTAGCATAACCGGGCTGCCCGCCGTTTGAATTTGATCGGTCCAGCCAGCTGAGACCCCGGAGATTTACGTTCTCTCATCCAGTCAGGCAGCCTCCCAGCCTCCCAGCCTCCCAGCCTCCCAGCCTCCTGTTCCCCTGAACATTTCTAATACTTTTTTTGGGGCCAGCGATTTGCGGGATGCTCGCGTGCAGGCTTACTTTCCCAGGCCGGCAGATTGGTCATTGATTAATCACACGAAATGAGAATTTATTGAGGAAATCAAGTGATCAAAAGACGCCCGGAAAGAATTAAACGGATTATAAAAGAGGCTAAAAATAGGCATTACAATAATACATATAGCTAATGAGGCGAGCTAGATTGGGGTGCTGGAAATAGATTTATATATTCATATCCTATAAAAGTATGAAATATATTTAGGAAATGTGATTACCACTTTGTGTAGTGTGTTAGCTCATCTTCAGAGTAGTTGTTTTATGATGTTTAGGAGGTAAGCTAGAAGATAAACCATTGAAATGCAAAATATAGATTAATTACCAATATTTTTGGTAATATTTATAGGTTTATATTTTAAGATGTACTTCACCATTACATGTATTAATCGTAGGGCATCTAGATATCGACCAAGTACTTTGAAACTTATGCTCTTTCCAACTTTTTGGTGGACGAAATGGAGCTCACGGCGCAACTCCCAAAAATGAGATTTGTCCGCAGCTATTTTTGTGGCCATTGCAACCAGGCACACACTCACACACACACACACACACACGCAGAAAAAAAGTCGAGAAAAAAAGCCATGACAAATAGTTCAAAGGCCCAGCTCGTTGAGGGATTTTTTGTTTTCGGTTTTTCCGGACGTCAAGTGTGTGTAGTTTGTTATTTTTAGCACAACCGCACTGGACGCACCCAAGAGAGGGAAAGATACCGTGGAGCGGGAACGGAATCGGGATGGAAGTATGTGCATTGCACATGACGGAGGGAATAATTAATTCATTGCATTGGCCAAACCAAACCACTTGGGCAGGCTTGGGATCGGGTTCAGGCCCACAGCTCACCTCGCTTGGAAATGGGTCAGCAGG